TAATGAGAAATAAAAAACATAATACAGTATAGATTGCGATCTTACGAAATTGGCAATCTATAATCGTTTTTAAATTTAATTGAATTCAATATTTAAACGAATTATTTCAGAAGATTTGTTATTGTTACTTCTGGAACGCATTCGATACTGAGGGATGAAGTGGAATTATCAATAATAAAATATAATCAGAATAAGAAGTTGATTGCTTCGGGAAACTGGAAGTTAGCATCTGGTGGAAAATAAACGGCGAATATTCACATTAATAGTTTCAGATCTTCCAATTCTAATATTGAATTTAGTAGGGCTATTTTAATTTCAATATTTTCAAAGTTAAAAATAATATTTTAGCGCCGTTTTAATTTTTTTTTTTCGCTTTCTTACTTGGGTTTATTTCAAACACTGATCTAATTTTATAAAAAAGAAAAAAACTTATGATTTTTTTTCTTTATATTGTAACACTTTAAAATTTTAAAGTACAATTTTTTTTCACATCTTTTAAAATACTTAATAACGATAACTAGTGGATTTAAACTTTTTTGTGAAAAAAGCATCGCGAGAGAAATGTTTAAGGACAATTTACAACTTTAAGCAAACATATTTTTAAGAAAAAAGTCAAATTTTATTAAAAAGGCGATGTATTTGTTAAAGTTTTAGGAATGTTTTTATACTTTTCTAATAAGTAAATTAAGCAAATGAACGAGTAGGCGAAAACGACAATTCAGGAAGCAACTCAAAATTGCAGATGTCACATTTTTGATCTCAAATTTGAATTGTAGGCACAAATTTTAAATATAGTAAAGTGAAATTTTAATTTACATGAATTTCAAATTAAATGGTTTGCACAATGAATGAATATTCGTCTCCTTTATAATTTAAAATACGAAAATAAAAATTAGCAAAACCAAAAAGACCGCGTAGAAATTATAAACGTGTGATTATTACTTCATAAAACTGAGTCTGAATACAGATTAATCATAAAATACGTATTAAATGAATAATATTACTCATTGATTTGTTAATTATGATAGGCTTTACGACTTACGACTAATTCAAATGATCATATCATGATGATTTACAACGATATGCTTACGATTAGATGGAATGGAATATGTGTATGCTATTTCAAATAAATATTGACCTTTCACCAATTTATCAGAGTGAATTCTGAAGGCGTTAATTCAAAATTAGGAAAACATTGACAAAAAATTGAGAATGATAAATTTTTAAAATTTAATTAATTGCTCATTCATATCATTTTTATAATATTATTTAATACAGCAAATATAGCAGGAAGTAAAAATATAATTTAATAACGCAATAAGACAGGTAAGCTTCAAGATAAGTGGGAAATAGATGAATTCATTTACAATAACTGATAAATATTTGTGGTGAATCATTTCATACAAGCATTTATGGCTCCTTGGAACCAATAATTTCTTTGACAAGTAGAAGAATAGAGAGGAAAGAGAAAACGATGTTTTCATCATTTTTCATTAAAAAAAAAAAAAAACTGCTCCAGTTTATCTGATATAACTACACAGGATTAGTTAAGTGTAAAACTAATTTTGATGTCCAGTTTTCAGGAAATTACAGAATGTTCTATCAAATGCAATTCTAATAGTAATGGATTGTTATTCACCATTTATTTACTTGAGGAAAGTATTATAATAATTTTTTTTAGTTCAAATGAACTCCTGAAAATTGGATTTTCGTGAAAAATAATTGCATTTTCGGTGATCTTTTTATGCCTCATTTGAGGTTACTTAGATTAAACGCTGCTAAAAAGCATAATAAAGTTTGCATTAAGTAGCATTTCGGATTTTATGAGACAAATGGTTAATGATTGCTTATCATATCATTATCGCATTATTTGTTGTTATGGTTTTATATACAAGTATTGTATGTGATCAAGAATTCGTTTTCTCTAATATTATACAAACGCCCGAGTTCGTGAAAAGAAAGCCTGGATTTTTGCAAGATTTTAAAACATTTTTCAAATGACTGTCTTCTTTTCTAACTTTTAGGAAAATTCCTTTGATTTTTATTTCGCTTCCAAAATATGACTCAGTCTAATTCACAAAAAAGAAGAGTTATAAGCAGTAATTCGAGAATATTGATTGACATACAAAAGATGATCGAGGAACTAAACATAAAATATATCGAAATTGCAACAAAAGCATGTTGTTAGTTAATTTTATAAATATTGATTAATTGGAAAAACATATAATTGTCAATATTGATTTTAATCAATTAATTTGTAATCTTCTATTATCTACAAAACAGGTAATCCACAATGTTATATACAAGTCTTGTTATTCATCCATAAATTATTACTTTTAGCTAATAAATTTCATTTTTGGATCAATTTTTTTTTTGAAATGCTTAGAACTGGGAGAATGTAGAGTGACAAGGTATTGTGGACATACCAAGAAAGGTCAATTAACACATACCGTTACATTGAGTCAAATTGCTAAAGAAAGCTAATTTGAAAATATTTGACATTCTATTCGTTTAAATTGACAAAAAAAAAAAAAAAAACTTCAGTTCAAATGATTGTTAAAATAGTTAGTTTGTTTTTTTATAGGAATTTCAATCATTACCATCTTAAAGCGTCGAAAATATTTTTTAATAGAAAAGGTTTGTACAACAGTTATGCTCAGTATTTGATAATATTTCAGTGACAACGGAAATAGTACTAAAAGTTTAAATATTCTAACTTAGAATCGTTAAATTTAAGAGAATCGGAAAGTGAGTAAAAGGAATGGAAAAGCAGATAATAGAAAATGCAGAAAATGAAAATTACTAAAGCTACCGCTTTTTAGTATAACAGTCGATGTGAAAGAAAACATCAAGTCAGTAGCCCTTTACATTTTCTGTTTCCTTAAATATTAGCTAAAATTGAATATGGCGATTTCTTCGGCTAAACGAAATTGTTCATCCTATTTCATTAGCTAATTTCATATTTTTATGCTCACGTTTATTTTCATCATTTGAACTTCGTTTTTTATCTTTTATTTAAGGTAAAACGCTTATACACAAAGCAAGGATTTTTAAACAATCTGGGGAATATAGCTGATGAAGAGTTTATGTTTAATCGAAAAATTTAGACATATAATTTGTTTGTGTGAATGTAAAAAAAAAGTTCTGTTATTCTTGAAGACACAATATTGCATATCTGGATGTAAAAGAAATAGCACATAAGCTTTATTTTTCATTAAGCAATATTGATGTGATCCTTTGGTTATATGTCAACGTATGATCAAATAATTCCCAAACGTTTTGTTGGAAAAATGAGAAATAAATTTGCCCAGAATGATTTTTGCTTTTTAAATAACATATCATTCGCATTTGAGTGGTATATCATTCGTGTCCTTCATATTGATAAAATGAATAAAGTCTAAAATTTCATTTACTCTATCGTTCATTTAGCATTTATTTTGCCATGATTTCTGTGGCATTTATTTCACATACCTGGAATACCGAAACAAGTTCTTGGCAAGTTTTCGTGGAAAGATTTAATTGTTTAATTATTAATATTGGGAAAGGTGTTTGATCGCAGGGAGATTGGTTGGATGTAAATGTAAATGCGTGAGGTAACAGAAATATAAACCAATTTCTTTATTAGCAGAATAGGATAATACGCTGATAGAGAACAACTGAAATTGGAATCGTCGGTTCCTGGCGATAAATTACACATATACTAAATCTTTTAATAAGGGTAATCCTTATATAGCAATTATCTTACATTATATGTGTTAAAATGTGGGAGTGGTTTGTAATTAGACAATTTTGTACAAAGAATAAATTGTCTTGACATGATAGTAACTTTAAGAATAGGTTTTACAATGGATATCACAATGATACAATGAGTTATGCAGACATTATGATAAATGGCTACTATGAGTTGCAATAGACATGATAGATGCTCATAGTATATGAATTGATATAAGATCAAAAGTCAATTAAACCATTACGATGAATTGTAAAAGACATCAATGGATTGCTATATTAAGTATTGTTAACATTTATTCAATGCTTCGCGATGTTAAAATCCGCGACACAAGTGGCAAGTTGTTTACCTCACTGTATCCTCGTATTGGCCAATTCCTGAATTCCTGTAGTCTTTGGATGTGATATTTTTACATAAAGCATACATGCAGGAACTGTGTGAACTTTTTATCCAACACAGGAAAAAGTTTTTTCTCAATTCTGCCTAAATGTGTATGTACTGATTATAGACTAAATCAAATATTCAGATGTCTTCAGCACTCAAATGCAAGTATATCTAAACTGTGTCCTCAGATCGGGTAAGCTTCAGTAATTCATGTTAAATTTCTCAATTTCACTCCTGGCACTTTGCATATCACTATAGTGAGTGAAGATGCTGGAATCTCAGAAGTGACGTGTAGCATGTTCGTATGTAAAGTCGAAACAAAATAAAATTTCCTAAACACATAGATTTTCCCGCAAAAAAAAGAAAATAAATTTTGTTTTTTTAAGAAAATTACAACTGAAGGTAAGCTTTTTCTTAAATTGTCCGCTTCATGAAAACAGTGCAAAAAGTTCACTTTCAGTGGGTCTATTGGATTACAAGTGTTCAAGTTCAAAATAATGTTTGACATTCAACGATCTCCAGGAATATTCATTAAATAATTTAAAGTTATAAAAAGCAGCAAATACTTTTTATTCCAACATACAATAATAAAAACTCAAAAGACTACTCATCCAATAGATATAATACCGAACTTGGCACAAAAATACAAAAGAAACCAGCTAATAAATCCAAAATTCAAAGTTATTTCATTAGTAACAGGGGAAATAGTCTTTCTTAATAGAAGAAACAAGTACCATGAAATTTCCTTATCAGTCATTGAAAAGTCACTGAAAAAAAATAAAATAATATCGTCAAAAAATTATTTACCTGCAGTTGTTGAAAGAAGTAAGACGATGAAAAAAAGAAAAAAAACGTAAAATGTAAAGTGGGTTATTAGTAGAACAAATTATTGCTGAGTGTCATTTGCTTGAAAGTAATTTGTGCGAAATGTTTCCCAGAAAGCTTGCCCGTACTTTGAATTCATGAAGAAATAAGCAATACTTATGACAGAAGAACACCATGACACAACAAGATACCAATCGAAACTTGACTTGTAGAATTCTAAAACCATGTCTTAAGATCAGTAAAAAAATTTTGAAAATAAAATTGATAATAATATAATCATGATACTTCTTATATGGAATAATTAAAACAGCATATATTTTGTATGTGTCATCTCAATGAAATTTGAATAAATTTAAAAAAAATACAAAACTTACGTATGTTTTCAATGAAATCACTTTTGTTCTCCACTGCTGGCATGTATTCCAGCTCAAGATCAGTCCATTTTTCTATATAATCTCTGAATGCTTTCAATGAGAAAGGTGCTTCATCCATACGGGAAACTACACTGCCATCGACCCACAGTAATATGGTAGGTGTTCCGATGATCCCATACCGACTATTCAATCTAAAACTGCTGACAGGATTACTAAATTAAACTATAATTGAGCAAATTGTTTATTTTCCATATACGATGCAATCTCAGAATCTTAACAAAAAAATTACTTGCTGTGGTCTCTTGCATCCGTGGCGACAATACGCAATCGAGGATACATGAGCGGCAATTGATATAGATAAGACACCATTCGTATGCTAAATGCACAGTCTGGCGAATAAAATGCCGTCAACATACAATTCGAATGACCGCTATGCAAATCACTGTCACTGTTTACTTGCGCCAATAACTGTGATGAATTCATCAAATTTACCATGAGATCTTTCCGATGTGGCGCTTAAATGCACATCAATTAATGTGATACTTAACACATCGAACTCAATTATGCCATATTTAGACGTTGTTTTGTTAAAAGTACTAAAACAAAACGATAGCAAAAATGAATCATGCAAAAAAAAAAAAGAAAGAAAGAAAGCACACAGTAAAATTAATTTTGATATTACTTAATACAAAAAAAAAAAACTGGAACCATACTTTAGACAAGAATCATAACTAGTCATACAGAATGATGCTAACCTGTGGCACATCTATACCTCTGATTGAGCAATATGTCGAATGGTACATCGACGACACAAAATGGGTCTGTAGCGGGGCACTGCCTATTGATCAATACTTCGAAAGCATTCTTCGGATATTCACAAAATATATTTGTTGTTATAACTACAAGAAAAAAAGAAAACTTGACAGTTTACCTGGTTTTCCTTAAGTTATATAAATAATCGATCATGCATAAAATATCTGGAAGTCTCACAAAAAAAAAAAAAAAAACTTCCCAGACATTTTAAATTTCTATAACTGTCCTTTACAATGCAACAAAGAATTTCACAATGTTAAAGTTCTCCTACACAAAGTGTGATATTCCCTAGAAAAAGGGACTGGCGTAAGAGCTGAAGAAAAGGGTTTAACAGCGAACCAATCTGATTATCTGACAAATTTCTACACGAACCAATTTCTACACTTTTTTTACTCCTTCTCTCCATCCTTTATCCAAGAAATTCACAATCAAAGAATAAGCAGTGAACAAAAAAATAAAATAAAATAAAACGGAGATGAAATACCGACTAACTTCCGTGAGCGGGCAAACCGCTCTTATCGTTCGTTGTATTATCCCATCCCGAAATGCTGCCACCATTTATGATTCGCGCAACAGACAATAATAAGTAAGCAATCAGCAGAACGTTAAACATCCCATCCGTACTCAAATATTCCTCAAAAAAAAACCACCAGCTTAAAGGAATCAGTTAGCTACAAGAAAACTTAGAATGCCAGATTTTAATATTATTTCTCGACAACTGTCAATAAAATGCTCAGAATGCTAATACCAAAGCATTACTGTCACACCACTACCCCTCTTAACCTGAACATATTGACACCCTAAATATTTGCAACTCGATAGTGAGCCTGCTCTTGATAGGTTGGCTGGTGTCGATTAGACGTATCTCGTTATCAGCAACTGGCAAGACCAATGTACTGGACTATTTCAGCTTGCTTCATTGGACTGCATTTTCAATTCTCGAAATGCAGTGTGGAGTGTAGCAGGAAATCAGGGATGGAGCAAGCCTGTTATCATTTTCGTTGTATGGTTGTGAGAAAAACCGTATGTTTAATTTCTTTCTCCTTTTATTGATATTTTTTGCAAAAAATTTAATTTCACTTGAAAAAAAAAAGGATGGTTTTGCATTGTATTCTCAAATGCAAAGAACTTTTCCTTTCATGGGATCGGTAATTTCTGTCATCATATTAGAAGCATATGAAGTGGTTTAAGAAATTGGTGACATGTTTTGGATGGGAAAAGATAAATTCCAACATTTATCAACCTCTTGAATAATGTTCCGGAAATTCTCAGCTATTTCTTATTTGATGAGATTACATTATAGAATAAAAGAGAAAATTGATTCACTTGATAGAGTTATATATATATATATATATTTTTTTTTTGAATGTTGTCAATATTCCGCACCTTTTAATTTTTTTTTCAAGTTACAAAACCTTTTTTTTTAAGTCACAAAAAAAATTAGACACTAATTATTATAAGATTTGTTTAATCGAACCAACACCATGACCTTATTAACCTTATTTCATTTATCTATCCCTAATAACACTAACTAAAGAATATATTTCGAATTGATAAACCACTCATATTCCATGTCATTATTTAAATACTCAATTCCACTAATTTTTAAACCTAATCCAATTCAAGGTGCTCCTCGTTTCCAGAGTCTCTTTTCGAAAAAGAACTAAGAAATATAATGAGAAAGAATCACCATACAATTTAATATTGTGACATTAAATTCATTTTCCTTACTTTTTATGTTGATCACTGAAAACAGAACTTGCATTGCTTTCTTAATATATTTGCTATTACTTATAAGCAGGCATTATTTTGATTCAAGTGCCAAATTCGTCTAAAAGTGATATTCGCTACTTTAATTAATTAACTTTTTTTTTTTGAATTATCTTAGGCTCTTTTGATTCTTTAATGTTTGTACTGTATCGCTATGAAGGATTAGCCGCAAATTTTCTATGATGCATTGTTTAATCTCTCAGACGTATATTATTTTATTGGAAAAGCTGTGTCGAATAATTGTAATTGGAACAGAGACATCATATATTGATAGTAACACTTCAAAGAATTCATATCAGAGAACATTTCGATGGATAATGTGGTACATAACAATAATGTTCAACTCCGTATATCCAAAATATTCCTTCACGTGAACCAAGCTGATAGTATACTTTAGCCACTGGGATTGCTTCCAAGAGATGTCGTTGCTGTTATTTTTAGTTGACAATAAGATAGGAGACTAATCAAATCACTTGTAATGTTTAACTCTCTTTGTCCAGAAGGAGTTAAATCCAGATGTATCATCAATATATGAATTAATAAAAAACACTTAAATATCTCTGTGTTATGGTCTTGGTGAAAAACTTATTTTCATAACTAAAACAGTAACAAATGAAACTATGGAATGTTTAAACATTCTTTTCTTGATAATATTCTAAATTTCCCCTTCAGGGTAAGTTATCATCGGCATACAGTGCTGTATCACCAGATAATGTTTGTAGTACTAATCTTTACTACGAACTTATAATATATGCATTGTATAACTTACCTTTATTATGCGACATCTACCGATGCACTTTTGCAAATGTGCTGCACACATCTGCCGGCTTATTTCATTGATTTGCTGTACGGGATACTTTTTCAGAGGCAAGATCTAAAACAGTACGGCGTACCGCAAGTTCATCAAGTTTAAAGATGCCAAGAAAGTTGCTGTGATTTTCCAACCACTTAACATTAGTGCTTGATAAATACGAACTCTTGCGTTTTATGATGTTAGTCGTTGGATTAAACTTCATCTATCTTTTGGTGGAATTTTATGTTAATAAGGTATAAAAGTGGGAAATATAGTTTCACAGAAAACATACGTATGGCTGACATTCACTCATAATCACCTGCCCACCAACTTTTGACAGCATTTTCTCGGGTATTTCGCAAGGACTATAGTAGTCACTGTGTTCAACGGCGCTATAAGCAGAGTAAATTCTCAGATTTTGCACTTCGTATTTTTAGTGGAATATATTTCTTCACTTGACCAATAATCTTGTAAAACGGTTGTGAACAGAGGAAGTATACCACCGAGAAAACTTACAACTGTACTCGTAGTTTGATGTAAGTCCGTATACTGCCGTTTCCGCCGCATGCTGAGCACGGTTTCTTTCCATGTCCTTTGCAACGAGAACATTCTCGTATACCACGACCTTGACAGAAGTGGCACAAGTCATGATGGCCAATACCGGGCGGCGGAACCCCAGCTCGAGTCATAAAATGAACTGGTGTACCTACGCCATATGCCAAACCTCCTGATGGAGGCCGTACGACTGCAGTACCTGAACTTGGATAACCTCGACTCAAATCCGACTGAAAGTACATGAGTTCTTAGAACTCGTAATATTGTTACTCTAATAATAAATATGTCAGCTGTTTCATTCAATAATTTTAAGACGAAATCTATGATCTTTACGAAAGAAAATAAATTTTGGTAATAAGAAGTTAACAGTAGTTCTTAGCAAAATCAAAATATTGAAAACGAACATGGGGAAAGGCAGCAACCATTGGATGAGTATAGATAGCTGGATGAGCAACTCCTGCTTTCATACCCGTTCCTCTGCAATTACGATTAACGAAACTGGTGATTTAACAAACAACGTATGAAATTTTTCGCTAATCAATTTCAATATGTCCTACAATTACTGACATCCTGATCCATCGCTGAATTTTGCATGACAGTCTGATTATCAACGTCACATAATCTAACCGTGTGGTGGTATGTCATTGCTTTACCTATCATTAAAGTCTTGTTAACTGGACACTTTCGCTGGATATTACTAAGCATCTTTCTATTTTATGGTCAAAGATTACTTAGTAATATTCAACAAAAGCAAATGAGTCATAGCATTAGTATCTAAAACTGATTATTCCCCAGTTTTTAAGCAGTGAAATGTTGCCGATATTTCTTGCAGAAATTCTAGTGAAATATGCAAGATTACCTACAACAGGTGCATTTATCAGTACCATAGCCACGACAATGAAAGCAGTGTGTCAGGCCTTCCGCATTACAAGAATGACAAGCCATCAACTCACTTGTGCCTGGCATTTCCAACACTTTCACCTGTAACACTTCTATTTATTTATCATTCATATTATGAAAAAAGAAATTTCATTCTAATAAGAAACGAGTCTGGAAAGGACTAAATAATTGCGGAACAAGTATTCCATGTGTCCAAAAAATTAAGCTCAAGTGGACAGCGGTTACATAAGGGAAGAAATACAACCTGTTCGACGAAATCTTCAGGTGGATCCATCGCATAATCCCATGGATTTAAACCTGCATTCGGAGAGCCAGACGTACTTTGTTGTTGTTGCAAAAACTGTCCAAGTGTGACACCTTCTACTGCTTTGTTCGTACTTCGCATTTCAGTGAAGCTTTCCATTGCATACTGAAAGCAGTTATATCTGTGAAATATTCATATCATTCATTATCGTATAGATAAACAAAAAAAAAAAAAAATTTCGCAATAGAGGAAACAACAGGATAATTTTGACTTATACTTAATTAACAGTTATGATAAAGTTAAGAGAGTAAAAGCAATAACACAATAATTGGGGGACAAAATACCATTTCGGAACTATTAATAATGTTTTTTATCAAACTTTGATGAACAAAGTGATATAGTTTGGAATGTTAAGCCTTATTTTTCGTATTAATATATTTCGGAGTGCAGCACTTTTTTTTATGTGTTCAAAACGATGGAACATAAAAATTCTGTAAAAATTAGGCAACATTAAATATATAATTAAGCTTATAGTAAGATAAATAATGTAAGGTTACATGCAAGCAGGCACTATTGTCAATCCGGTTAATTGTCATTTTTGTGACAGCACTAGCTTTCCAGTATTTGTGACGTTTGGCCTCATTTCGCAATGCTTCCCGTACGGCATTTTCTGTTACCTCAGGCAAGTCATCAAAGTGACAAATTGATGAACTTTGTTCTGCAAATGTTTGTTTGATTATAAGCTAGAGCTAATAGACGAAGACATAATTTCTCAGTGAAATTCAGGAGCAAACCTTTATGTGAAGTTGTAATACAACAAAATAAAGTTCAATTTCAAAGTACTCACCAAAACGACTTTGTACTTCTTTTTCAGCTGTCTCTAACGGTGGTGGTGGTACTACATTAAACTGTTGCTTATCCGTTGTGTGGAAATTAAGATTGTCGGCCATTCAGTGTGCTCCACAAAAGCAACTCACCAAATTTTTATTATTCATCGATCCTATTACTTTGGGAAGTGATTCTACCTCATCCATGACCATTTTATATCCTCCAACCGAAACTATTTGATTTTTTTCTCTCTTCCTGGAACAACATTGATAATTCATCGTATATGCAACTGCAATTACACTATGGGTATCTTTAATTTGTTATTAATGATACGATACTATGCAATATCTTTTTTCAAGTTGGACACTTGAAAAACAGCATTTTGAAAGATCACTGCAATCAATAAAACACAACACAAGCAGCTGCTCATATAGTAGCAGGATTAAGGTAACTATTTGGGTGAAGCAAAAATAGTTTTAAAAAAATGAATATTTTGGAAAAGGAAATTATCGCTGTTCCAAAGATTAAGCCTTCTGTTGGGTGAGTAAAGTACTGTTATATTGTTGTTGTACAATCTGCTCAGTGGAAGAAAATTAATTTAAAAATTAAAATAACTAGTAACAGAAGAGAAAAGGTATAATGTAAAACAAATTGTACAGTGTATGAAAAAATTTTTTAAATAATTGATGAAGAATGATGATTGATGTCAAGATGTAATAAATCGAGAACTAACAGTGGTCGATATTATATTTTATGTCAAAATTCAATTACACTCAAACTAATATATCCAATAATTCGATTTTAAATTTAGCTTAAAATAATAGAATAAGATTCAAAGTTTTTATAATAATAGATTCAAAGTTTGTTACGACAATCAGACAGTTTTTTCTCTTTAATAAAAGAAAATTTGATACTGGTATGAATATAATTCATTGTGAACACTGAAATATTATTTATAAAAAATGATTAATTGTTGCATTTAAAGATAATTTCTTTCAAGCATATTTCAACGACAATTAACTTTTTGTGATCTTACAGATTATTTACTAATGCTGTACTTCAGGTCTTTAAACCAGAAATTAAAAGTTAATATTACGCTGGTCTAATATAGAAATTAATGTTAAGAACAAATAACTATGCGAGAAAGTTGTTCTGTATCTGAAGTAACTAAAAGAATTAAAATCGTTTCAAAAATAGAATTTAGGAATTATTACAGCTGTTCCAAATAGTTCCAAATTACTCAAACTAAAATAATGAAAAGATAGTCTTATGTATGGTAACAAACTTTTACTAAAGAAGTGCAATATCATCATGACCATAAACAGCAGTGAAGAAAGATTGAATCAGTTACGTAGTCATTTTCTTCTTGATGTATTATCAGCATACGTTGGAAAATTTTTCGACATTAAGATGAAAAAATTGTAAGACGGATAAGAAGTTTGTTTACACTGTCACATAATCATCAGCAACAGCTATTCTAACGATAACAACTGCCAGATTTTCTGTGAAATTAGTGAATGGAATTGAAAGGGAATGCCAGTAAACCAATATTACATTACCCATGTAATCTACTAATTTATTGACAGATTTTATAAAATCAGTAACCTCGCATTCCTAAAATCTTTTGGAGCACAATATTGCAGTTAGTTTGAAAAATGAGTAGTAATATTTTACCAATCTTTTATAAACAGATATGCTGTCCATTTATAACTACGTTGAAATAAGATTTCATTTACGTTTCGATTAAGTCATAACAAAATTAATAAGTTCTGTGAGTCTTCTGAGTAACAGTTGTTACTCACTTTTTTTATTTTATTTTATTGTATTTAGTAAAAATTCATAGTAATTTCAATTTCCATTCCAATGATTTTGATTATAGAATGCAACACAAAATCTCTCAAAAGAAGTAGTGAAACAATAATAATGATGAATAAAAAATAAATAGAAACTTCTGTCTTAATTATTTTTCTTCATTTATTGTTTTAGGTCAGTTTCATTTGTTTTAAATACTAGATGGAATGATCAAAATATTTTATTGTATTTTTCGCATAATTGACATTAACAAAGTTATAATTACATGGAAATACTTTAGTTCAATAAAATACGAAGTCAAGTATTTTTTTTATCCGTCTTTTATGCAAGATTCAATAAATTGATGCATAAAATAATGAGAAAAAATGCTCCGTGAACTTTGAAGAGTAACTATTTAAACAAACGTAACAACAATATTTTTAAATAAATTCTTTAGCAAGTTAAAAATATTCAGAAGGATCAATATGGAAGATTGCACGTGAAGAGCAAAAACACTTCGAAGCCTAGAAACGAGAATATTCGTATCAGATTTTATAACATAACTATTATTCTTCTCTATTCCTATCTTCTTTTTTCCTTTCTCTCTTTCTCTCTCTCTCTCTCTCTCTCTTCCTATTGAATTAAACAGGATTGCCTTTGAGCTGTGCAAGAAGCAATGTTGTCATTAATTAAGTGGAATAATATGCTTAAAGTTAACTACACTTAGAATTTGAATGGAAGTTCAAATGTTATTAGTGCATAAAACTCAAAATTTACTATGTTATGCTATGCTATATATCTATTCTAGGCTATATTCCCATGAAATATAGATTTTCTCTGCAATCAACTTACACCAAAATTAATGACATCATTCGGAGGATATTTAATGATTTCGAGAGGATATAAAGTTTTCCCTGCTGAGCAATAAATTTGAAAGCCATAGTGATGCTCCTTCACTATAGCATGTTTCTCAGTGATAGAATCTTCTTTGTTTAAATTATATGCTGCTTAGCCAAGGTAAAGTGCATCGTCCTGCTAAAAAAGATTCATATCAACAATTTAAATCATTTCATTTGATTTTTTTATCATTAAGTTATTTGCAATTTGTCTTAATTATTTCATCATATGAATTTGCTTAATATAAGATAGTAATGATAGCAAAGAATAGCTTTTGAGGAATTGAATATATAATGAAAGGCAATAAAACAGTTAATTTGTCAACAAATGTGTATGTGTGTCCTTAAAATCTGTTTGATTTTCTTTTTTCTTTTTTCCGTTTTACCTCTCTTTTTTTTTTAATTCATAAATATGACTATTCGAAAATGTCAACCACTCCTTAGAATATTCAGCTCAAATTCAAAAGAAAAAAAAATGAATCCGGATAATGGTCTTAGTTGACAAGTAAAATGCATTTTAAACGTGAAGGAATGGTTCGTACACGATAGGAAATATAAGCTTACATAAAAGTACTTTTGTTGCAAGTGTGCTTTTCATGCAAACGAAATTTAAAAAGGAAAAGGTTTCATAAAAATGAATTTTTGCTGTGTAAGTCATTTAGTATTCCAAAAGTTGCAGCAAAAAAAGTGAAGACAACAAATAAGCAATGGCTTGGACTATGCAATAAAATTCGATAATTTATTGCATTTCTTATTCGTGTATTAAAATAAGCTTAAATTAATTGGAAAAGAAAATAAAGAAATGTTAGGGTGACAAAACCCTACTACGACATAATTACAATTTTTTCTTCACATAAAAAAATTTTAATTTAATGAAAATCTCAAACAAACTTTTATTGAAGAACCAATTTATCTATAAAACCACAACAAAAAGAAAAAAAAAAAAACAACTGATATATCTTGAAAAAGCAAGAGGAAATAGTTTCTATAAAAAAGAAAATAATTTTTTTATACAGAATAAATATATCAGAAACAAAGGAAAACTGCAAATTTTCGATTTCGTTCTTCAGAAAAGGTAAATCACTTCTCAAATGGCAAAACAATCTACTGATAAGAAAGAATGTAACGATTATGGAAATATAAAAATGAGGTCCTAGATTTTTGATTTCTGATTTTCCGGATATTTGCACAACTGGCATAATTTTAAGTAACCATGACGAGAATGCATGTGAGCTGTTTGAAGTATGCTTTTGTTGAATGAGTATGGAATAAGGTTAGGCAGTAACTGGATAAAGTTGATGGAATAACGGATTGGCACTGCTTGTCTATGCCTATATTGTTAGGTATGAAACTGAAGCCTTATATACTAAGCTTTAAGCTTCTAGAAAATGACTGATAAGATTTGCTACATTTTCAAAACTTTTCAAACAGCGAGTGAAATCAATAGTACTTTACGATCGAACTAATATGCTCAAATAATTACAAAAAAATTCCTTTTTTTTCAAGGAAAACTTCAGCTTTTTCTCTTTTAATTTACAGTTTACATTTTGGAAAGTAGACTGATTTTTTTTCTTTTTAATAATGGTAGTTGGCCGCAATATGATTTAGAATGGGTGGATAGAGTAAAAGCGAGGCTATTAAATGCTTCGATCGATATGTTGAATAACGGAATGGCTATTGGTACCAGTAAATAATAATTTTGCACAATTTTCCTTGGTGGAGAAGAAATGGTATTATTCAGATGGGAAGAAAGAAAGGGAGAGAGCGAAAGAATATCATAAGTAAAATTAAGATAAGAATTAAGGCGCCAGGTTATTAAAGATTGGGTTTGAGACTAACCGCTAAAAAAAAGAAAACACCCGACAAGAAAAATCTATATTCTGAGAAGAAATTAAATGTTCTTCCACTTTCTTTGAAATAAGAATGGCGATTTCCGGAATAAGGATATCCAATGAAGGAACCAAGAACAAAAAATTGTTCAATTAGACCTTGTTTATCAATAAAACTAAAATTGGGAGATGGTTTAGTGCTGGGTTAGTATATTTGGCTGTGAAATTAGATAGACCTGAAATCAGACTAAAATGAAAAGCTTAAACTATCATTGACGAGTCGCTCTTGCAGCTGTCCATCGAAGACAATCCTTTTCTCTAATTCTTTCTTGCTTTATTATGCTCTTTTCTCAATTTCCTCACATTTACACCCAGTTGTAAACAATCCAAATGATGGCATCATAAGTCATAAATGAGATATAGAGTCAAGCCTAACACCATTACATGGGATCTATTTTCTACTGCCTTTAAACTCAGCGAGTACAGCGTAAGATAGCAGGTTTAAGAAGTTTCTTATTGATAAGCTTATCAGTTGATTGTTCGGGTTATATGAAGTAAAAAGTGGAAAAGGTAATCAAATGAATCAACTGATTTAACAGTAATGAT